TACGAATGACCTAACACTAATATCATCCTCAATGGGGAAAAACTGAGAGCTTTCCCCCTAAGGTCAGGAACAAGACAGGGATGTCCACTCTCCCCACTGTTATTCAACATAGTATTGGAAGTCTTAGCCTCAGCAATCAGGCAACACAAAGAAATAAAAGGCATCCAAATCAGCCAGGAGGAGGTCAAACTTTCAACTTCGCAGATGACATGATACTCTATGTGGAAAACGTAAAAGATTCCACCAAAAAACTGCTAGAACTGATTCATGAATTCAGCAAAGTTGCAGGATACAAGAGTATCCCAACTCCAGAAGAAGTATCCCAACTCCCTGCCCCTGCAATCATCCCCACTTACAAATAAAAACAATTTTCTTCTTTCCTATTTTAAAACTGAAATGATTGTCCACTGGAGGGTCCTATATTTATGCATCATGAAAACCTTAATATCAATAATCATAAAAAATTAGCAACTATTTAAAAACACTTTAAAATGGTGTGGAAGACTACATCACACACAGTAATTTTAAAAAAGTGTTCATAAATAATTTCTTTTCTTTTTAATGTTTACTGATTTTTGAGAGAGAGATAGTGCACGAGTGGGGGAGGAGTAGACAGAGAGAGGGGCAGAAGATCCAAAGTGAGCCCTGTGCTGACAGCAGAGAGTCTGATGCGGGGCTGAAGCTCACCAACCATGAGATCATGACCCAAGCTGAAGTCGGATGCTCAACTGACTGAGCCACCCAGGCGCCCCTCACAAATAATTTCTAATGAATTGGCAAAATGGTCTCAACATGGCATTAAAAATCCTAAAGGTAGGCCACAAGATGATTAAAAAAAATCTTTATCTCAAATTATTTTAAAAATGCGAGAAAAGGATAGAAGAAAGTATAATGAAATATTAATAATATAGATGGGCTTCATGGGTAACTGCATATGGATTATTTTCATTTTCATAATAAATAATAACTAAAATAATATATGTAAAGGATATAGTTAGCACCATGTAAGTTTTGTTTTGTAAACACATATAACACAAATATAATAAACAGTTATTTCCAAAATAAATTCATGACATTTTATACATTCATGGTTCTGTTGAAGTTTTAAAGATGCTTTCAAATGGGCTATTCATTATTTATCATTATAATAATGTCCCAGGTATATCAGATGAAGTACAATAATTATTTTAGCAAACAAATGATAAGGAAAAATATTCAAACAGCAGGTGCAGAGACACAATGAAATATAAGTTAGTGTTTAAATTAACACTTGAGAAATTTTCAAGATCCGGTGGGCAGAGTTTAAAGTAAAATGTTGGTCTCCACGCTTCTTTCAGAGCTTATAAAACAAACCACAAAAAAAAAAAAAATGAAATAAAGCAAACAAAGAAACATGTATAGCTGCCACTCATACCAAATCCCAAACCAGTTTTAAATTCATATTATAAAGAAACAGCAATCAGCACATCTTTCATATCAGAAACAAGTGTAAGTCATAAACATTACATAAGTTCTTAAAATGCATCAACTTAGTCCTACTTAAGTCCTCTTACCTCCAAAAAGACATAAGCTTATGATGATCACTACAATGAGACCTAGGAAAACAGAGGCAATGACCATCCACAGTTTGCACTTTCCAATCAATTTCTTATTACAGGAGCTCCAAGGGTTCTCCTTGTTAGCCTGGAAAGCAGAGGGACACTGTGAGGCAGTCACTGGTCTCAACAAGCATTTCTGAATGCTTACCAAGGGCCAGTGATACAGAAATGAAGGCAGTGGGATCCTGCCCTCCAGGGGGCTCCCCTCCAAGAAGTCAGGTTTACAAAGAAGCAGAATGGAACCTCACACAGAAGTGAGGGAGAAAACACCCAGAGGGCCCTGAGGTGGGGAGGTTAGGCAGGATTCGGAAGGACAGACAGAGAAAGGCATTCCAAAGCCAGGAGAGAGCAAGCATCCTTCGTGTGGGTTGGTGACGGACCCGGCCAAGAGCCTCAGCTAACAGAAATGTGGCAAGTAATAACAACTAAGATTAGAGAGAGTGAAAGGCTGGAGGCAATCTGAGAGGGCTCTGAATGTGGTCAGAGCAGTTTGGACTTAATTTGGTGTGAGCTGGGGACCTGTGGAAGGTTTTGAAGCATAAGAGTAGACTTAAGATTCAGAGCAAAATGGTGTGTGCAAAAGCTAAGAGGCTACTGCTGTGACCTGTAACGTGTAATTAGGGCCTGCGAAGGGAAATGAAAGGAAGGACATGAGACACAGCAGGAAATAAGCGGCAGTGAGGCAGCCACTGCCATGGCTTATTGATCACCAACACCAATTCATTGCATGCTAACAGCCCCGCAGGGGGGCCACTGGCCCATCTCCCAGAGGCAGAGGCAGGTACAGAGAGCAGCCAGGGCTGATGCCCGCTGTGTGTCCCTACAAAGCTGGCACCTTTTGTCCATGGCCCCCCGTGCCATCGTGCAGAGCTCCAGGTTACGAGTGGGCCTGGCTGCCACGGTGCTTCCACTCAGGGCCACCACCTGCCCCTACAAGGTCCCAGGACTCTTCTGCTTCCCACTGAGCCATTGGGTAATTCCCACACAGAGACCAAGGACTGCGATGGGGAAAAGGTGTGTTTCTGCATCGGGATTCCCCTCCCACACTTAAAAGCAGAGCGACGCCCTCATTCAGCAAGCTACTGAAGCTCACCAGCCCCGACATCCTCAACTGTAAAAATAACAAGTGTAGCGCACAGGGCTGTGGTAGAAACCAGAGATCGCGTGCACGAGAGATCGCGCACACAAAGCCCCTGCTAAACAAAGATTAGCAATTCAACAAATGACAGCAATCGTTGCTCAGTGTTCTCATCTCACAAAGCAGCAGCAGGCATTTCTGGAGTCTCGCTCCTGAACAGGCACCTTGTTTACTGTCTCTGCCATCATGACGGTGCTGGTGGCCAGCAGAAAAGGAAATCGTTCACTTTAGGACTACAGTTCAGACTTTCTCAGTGACAGGTTCCCAAGCCTGGCCGGCTGCACATCAGGAATTTAAACTACACACCCCGAGGCCGTACTTGGACACAGGGGACCAGATTGCCACGAGGTGAGGGCAGGCCCCCGTCTGTAATTTTGAGCCTCCCGGACTGAATCAGTTGCTCTATCAGGGTTGAGACTTCTGTCCTGAAGCCTCATCACTCTTCAGGAGCCAAGTCAGATCTCTCCTTTTGTGGAGGCCTCCCTGCCACGTCGCCCAAGGACAGAGCCCCCCAGAACGTGAGCTGTCCACACAGCTCATCTGCCCCTGCTTTGTCTGGTTTCATGTTCAAGATACCAGCTTATCTTCCAAGGTAAACTGAAACCAGATAGAAGGAGGGGTGGTTCTTGAACTTCCTTGTTCTTACATCTCACACTTGTGCCTCAGTCGGGCAGTAGGCACGTAACACATGGGTGTGGCTTCGTTGTAGAGGGTTCTACAATTTGTAAGAAGGTACTTGGAGAAATTCTGGAGTAGAGCTCACGTTGTGGAGCCCCTGAGTGCACTTTACATTGGCTCCTCTGGTTGGGTATGAAGGACCAATAAAGGGAACGTCTGGACAGAAGAAAACGCTCTTGAGGTAAGTATGCTTCTGGAGTTCAAGGACAGTGCCAGCCAAAAATTGAAAACTGCTCCAAAGCCACCAAAGCCAAGGGCTCAATAAGGCATGGGGGAAAAGAAGTCTCAGTATAAGGAACCTTTAACTTCTCAGGGAACAGGACTATATCTTCCTTATGGAGCCCCTGAGAACAAAATGACCCCATGCCATTTTCAGTCCTTTTTTTTTTCTTCTAAGTTTATTTATTTATTTTGAGAGAAAGACAGAGAGACAGTGGGGGAGGGGCAGAGAGAGGGGAAGAGAGAATACCAAGCAAGCCCTGCACTGCAAGCACAAAGCTTGCCATGGGGATCGAACCCATGAAATGAGAGATCGTGACCTGAGCTGAAACCAAGAGTCGGATGCTTAGCCAACTGAGCCACCCATATGCCCTGCCATTTTCAGTCCTTCTACAAGAAGCAGCCAGGAGCCTAAGATTAGTACAAAATGAAATGGGCTGAAGTCTCAAATGAACCACAGAATGAGGGTCAATGCATCTCTCTGGCCTCTTGTTGCCTTCACTGATGTTTTCCCTTACAGATAATAAACTAGGACCCTGGTGGTATGAAGGGCCCACTACTCTGACTTCAGAGGGGAAGTCAGCTCAGAATTACACAGCCCTCACCTGTACAAAATGCCTCTTCGTGGGGCGCCTGGGTGGCGCAGTCGGTTAAGCGTCCGACTTCAGCCAGGTCACGATCTCGCGGTCCGTGAGTTCGAGCCCCGCGTCGGGCTCTGGGCTGATGGCTCAGAGCCTGGAGCCTGTTTCCGATTCTGTGTCTCCCTCTCTCTCTGCCCCTCCCCCGTTCATGCTCTGTCTCTCTCTGTCCCAAAAATAAATAAACGTTGAAAAAAAAAAACAAAAAAAAAAAAAACAAAATGCCTCTTCGTGTCCAGCCCAAAGCTGTCAACACACAGCCAGTTCACTGTCCTGCCGTCAGCCCTCGGGGAGAGATACCATCCTTTGCAAAATTAACCTTCACAGACTCTAAGCCATTATAAAGTAGTCGGTCAGCTACTCCCAACCCAAAAATAAATGACAGTGCTTCTCAGCTCTCTGCACATTAGCATCAACCAAGACTTGTGTATCCTTTAGAAGGTCCCCCTCACCCCCACTCCCACCCCCAAGATTCCACGGTGCCCTGAGGGTGAAGACACTCTGATACAGCAGGTGAGTGCTCCCTGCGCTGAGACTCCCCTAAAAACCAGGTCACAAAGACATACTGCCTCCTTCACTGGCATCTTCATTCTCTCACGCCCAAATTCTAGGCCAGGAGGAGAAGCCACAGGCAGGTTTTTCTGCAGGGTGCTTTCCAGAGACTTTTGCAAACTGCATCTTACATTCTATGATCTGCATTTTATGGCTCAAGAATTTTTGTAGCTTCCCTCTAAACATTCCCCCAGATAGTCACATCCAAACACATGACATAAGGCCCTGCCACAATGGCAAGACTATCTCTTGGATACAAACAGCTTTTCTTCTCTTTGGTGCAATTAGGAGCAGATAATGTACGTATCTGGAAAATTTTTCTTAGCGCGTAGGAAAATCTGTGCTTTGTAATCTCATTGTGGGATTTAATTCACTTGTCCACACATAAAAAATCTAGCTGATTCTTGTCCTAAATTCTGAACAATGCATAGCAATGGGGCTAATTTTGAAGTCTTGCCTACTTCAAAACTATCAACTTATTGCATTATTAATGATGCTGTCCCTTAAAATGTCTCCGGGACTTCTATTTGGGAACTGAGGTCAGAGCCCATGTGATGAGCCATAAAAAGAAAACCAATCTCCATCTATTACCCATAACTTCATTTTCATTTCTGACCCAACTATATTACCATGTTTACAGTGACAACAGGCAAAGTAAACTCAGTGGCTTACATTCCTTTCCCTCAAGCTTCAAGAAGGGGAAAGAATTTCTTTCCACTGCCTCTGTATCCCCTCCCAGATCAGACCTTCCAATAGGAAGATACCCTAGACACGGGGTGTCTTCTTCCCAACTGTCCCAAAACTGTCCCCTCCTCTTCACCCATCCACCTGCAACTCCCTCCTCATTCCAGATATGCTACGCAAATACTCATATTTCACTTAAGTGCCCAAACTTACTGAAATTAGGAACATATAATTTAGGCAATTATACATAAGTGAGTATAAATTACACATATATTTTCTCTCCCTAATTATCAATAAAATAAACCCATAAAAACAGCGTTGTTTGAGACCTAAAAAGCCTGAGTTCAAATCTCAGAGCCACCATTGAGTGAACCTGAGTATTGTGGTAACTTCTCTGAGCCTCAGTCTTCCAGTTTCTTCATCTGTCAAATCAGAACACTGACACCTTCCTCTTAAGTTTGTTGGGGGTAATTAGAAGCATTTATGTATGGGAAGTATGTGGCACATGATATGTACAAAGCATATGGTGACTAAAAATACGTGGGCTTAAAAAATAATAAAATAAAATAACAAATAAAAATACATGGGCTTAAGCTGCATTTCAAAATTGGAAATCTTAGCATAGAGTTGAAGGAGACCCTACACACAAAATTCTCAGATGCCTGGCACGCCCAAGCACTTTACAGGATTGTACAGTAGTTGACTTTTCAATTTAAAATACACTTCAGGGGCGCCTGGGTGGCTCAGTCGGTTGAGCGTGCGACTTCAGCTCAGGTCACGATCTCGCGGTCTGTGAGTTCGAGCCCCGCGTCGGACTTTGGGCTGATGCCTCAGAGCCTGGAGCCTGCTTCCGATTCTGTGTCTCCCTCTCTCTCTGCCCCTCCCCCGTTCATGCTCTGTCTCTCTCTGTCCCAAAAATAAATAAACGTTAAAAAAAATTTTTTTTTAAATACACTTCAGGGGGAGCCTGGGTGGCTCAGCAGGTTAAGCGTCCGACTCTGGATTTCAGCTCAGGTCACGCTCTCATGGTTCGTCAGTTCGAGCCCCGCATGGGCTCTGTGCTGACTGCATGGAGCCTGCTTGGGATTCTCTTTCTCCCTCTCTCTCTCTCTCTCTCTCCCTCTCTCTCTCTCTCCGCCCCTCCCCCATGCGCTCTCTCTCACTCTCTCTCTCAAAATAAATAAACTTTTAGTAAAATAAAATACACTTTAACTTATTCTACAGAACCAAAGAGAATGATTAACACATTACAGGAGGATTTTCTCATTTTTTGATATTTCCTGTTCAAATTTTTGAATGCCCTCCGAGTGCTCAGGTAACCCTTCACCTCCACACCATTCTGTCAACCACCATAGCTCTTACTATTTGGTGACCTACAAAGCTAATTCACAAGGAAGTCTAGGCTCTCTGTGTATACCCGGCTGATGAGGAAGTAATTAGAACACGAAAGAGCAATCTCTCCTGGGTACTAAATAAACAATTATAGAATACGGATGCCCTACGTGAGTGTGGCTTCTACTCATCTGTTTTCAGCAAGGCATTCCCAGGCCTCCCAGAGAAGCCCAGTTAACCACATTACATTACCATTTGACCCTTGGGAACACAGACCTTTGCACCTTGCCTCAGGGCACACCTTTTAGTGGTGAAGTTGTCACCAAAACTCCTATCTCTGGATTCAGTCCCTGGAGTCACTGGGAGTCCTGGATCTATCTAACATGTGGCAAGTATTCCCAAATCCATTCCTGGACCCTGCCATGGAGGTCTGAGGCAGAAGCCCATGGTGGCAGCCACTTGCACAGATATCAGACTATCTTTCTTTCAACCCTCATTCTTCTGTGGTATTCATCTCTCATTCATAAAATCCCCCAAATCACTCCCCGGGGTATCGATAGGTCCTTCTAAAAGCAGAGTGGACAGTGTTTCCAGGAACCCATGGAAAAGCAATGCTTTCACCGTTTGATTTCCTTGCTTATCCCTGAAATCAACAGCTGAGAGTAGTCAAAGGCGAGGCGTGGGAGTGGAGAAGTGAGATCTAAAAAAGATCAAGTTGGAGCCATATACATGGGGAGTTCCAAGCGCTCTGTAAACCTCAAGCCAGTCTTAGGGTTCATCAGATGGCAGATGGCTGTGAATTCAAAGCCTCTGCTATTTTACGAGTATTTGATGAGAATGAATCATGTTCCTGTCACTGCTAGGGCTGGAGCAGAAAAGAGGTCCTTTAGAGATTGAAAGGAGGCCCAAGCAAATGAGCCATTAGTCTAGTTCTTCGGGACAAGAACTTTGAAATCACTTCCCATCAACTGAGCAGGGCAAGTTCACTCCCCTGTCCCCTGTCTTCAGGAGAAATTAAAGTCTGGGAAAAGAAAAAGTGTGTGTCTGAGGGATGTGAGCCGGCTGGGGGATG